GCCTCCGCTCCCTTTTCCCGCCGCCGGGAGCTGCGCAAATTTCAGTGGAAACGGGAAAACGGGGTTTTCTCTGAGGCTGCCAACCCCCCCCGGCACGGGAGCGAGGCTGAGGCTTGCTCTGGTTGCATCTTTTTCTTTTTAAAATGTTCCTGTCAGACGAAAGTGAGCGCGAAATGCACAACCCGCCGCTCTTTAACTAACGCCTCGTCGGGGAATTGTCCTTCCGCCCGGAACGCGAGCGAGTGCCGCTGCGGGAGCGCGGCCGCTGCGTGGGGAATCGGCCAGGAGGGAAAAAAAAAAACCCAAAAGAGCAGCAAAGCGCGTGTTTAACTTCCCCTAAACCCGTTCGAAGGGTGACTGGGGAGCGAGGTCTAACAGAGCCGGGCTGTGGAGCCTCCAACCGAGCTTACCCGGAGCTCTGACACCTTCGGGACGATCAAAAATCCGCATTTCTGAGCGCGGTCCCGTCCGAACGCATCGCGAAATACCTGTCACAGGGGGTGTAGGTCCGCCACCAGGGGGGCGTCGGGTGACACCCTCCGGATGCTCCCCGAGCCCTCGCGTCCCACCTGGGCGGAGGGAGCAGAATAAACGTGGAAAAGTGGAATAAAATAAATTTACTTCCTCGCTGCTCTACGCAGCGTGGCGGAGTGGGGGCTGTTGGTGGTCCAGACGCCACGGGCAACCCCGCAGCTTTCTTCGACAGTGATGTCTGCTGCGGCCCCGGCGGGGTTATAGCTTATTAATTAAGGGAAAATATTAACTATGCAAATGAACTGGGGGCGGGGAGCGCGCTGATGAGTGCAGCGGAGGGAGGGCCGCTCGCGTGGCGCCCGGCTAGCTCAGTCGGTAGAGCATGGGACTCTTAATCCCAGGGTCGTGGGTTCGAGCCCCACGTTGGGCGAGTGTCTTTTTGTGCCACCCTCCCTTTTGAAGGATTTTGGGCGGGAAAACTTTGCCTCAGGCACGTCCACCTGAGCGGAACTCGCCCCCCCGCTCCGGTGGGACGGCGAGGACTCCCGAAGCAAACGCCCGTGGCACAGCAGTAGCCTGGATAATTTTGCCAGTCACTGTAATTAACACTGTATTGCTGAAAGAAACCTTTTCTGAATGCAGGAATTGAACGTACGTTAATAAACCAGGAGGAGCTGCAGACTCCCTTGAGAGTAGAGAGGTCTTACAGAGAGATCTGGATAGACTAGAGCTGGGCAATCACCAGCCATGTGAAATTTAACGAGCAAGTGAGGGATTCTCCACCTGGGATGGGGAAATCCCAGTTACACACACACAAACCAGGGGACGAGAGGGTGGGGAGCAGCTCCACGGAAAGAGCTGGGGGTTTGGGCTGATGGCAAGTTGAAGAGGAGCCAACAGTGAGCCCTGGCAGCCCAAAGGGCCAACCCTGTCCTCAACAGGAGGACATCGGACTATTAGAGTGTGTCAAGAAGAGACCAAGGTGGTGAAAGACCTCAAGGACAAGACTTCGGAGGAGCAGCTGAGGTCTCTTGGCTTGTTCAGCAAGGCTGAGGGGTGACTTCACCGAGGGGTGACCTCAGCCCAGTCTACAACTTCCCCAAGGTGGGCAGTGGAGGGGGAGGTGCTGATCTCCTCTCCCGTGACAGCGACAGGACACGAGGAAATGGAATGAAGCTGCGCCAGAGGAAATTCGGATTGACACCAGGTAAAGTTTCTTCACTGCAGGGGTGGTCGGTCACTGAACAGGCTCCCAGGGAAGTGGTCACATCACCAAGCCTGTCGGAGTTCAAGGGGCATCTGGACAAGGCCTCTAGTCACATGGTTTAGTTTTAGGTCATCCTGCAAGGAGCAGGGAATTGGACTTGATTTTCACAGGTCCCATCCAACTTGAGATATTCTATGATTATGACAAGATTAGGGGAGTCAGTTAAAGCCCCTTCCCTCAGAGAAAAGATCCCACTGACGCAGCACAGACACCGGCAGACTGCAACAGGCCGTGCTCATGGATATTTCAAAATATTCCTCCTGTCAGCAGCTCGGCTGGAGCTGTTTGCAGCTGGCTAGGACCAACCTTCAGGATCGGCATCCAGTCCAGAATGAGGAACTTCAGAGGAAAAACCTCCAGTTGCTGTAGGGGTTTGTGCCTGTCACTGTCCTTGAGTTCACTGTGAGTTTGTTTTGAGGATCCTGATCCCTGCCAGGCCAGGGAGGGAAGAGCTACAACATTTAAGCTGAAAAAAAATTAGCCAAATCCCTTTCTACAGGGTAACACATTTAAGGTGTGATCTCTAGGGGCTTTCTGGGGCTAGTTGTTCTGAAAAGCTGCTAATAGTCTGTCCTCACCCCTTCAATGAAGTAAGAATTGTGTTTCTGTTCTTAATAGGTCATGGGACTCTGCGCTTAAACCCACCAACAACACAAGAGTTAGGATTTTTGGTCATGCAGGGCAAAAGAGCAGCTGTTGAAGCTGTTTGGTGATGCAGAAGCCCCAGAGAAGAGCAGGCAGAACACGCCAGGCTTGTGAAAGGTCCCAGAGCACACATGCACAGCAGTACAGAAATACCGCTGAAAAGGGAAGGGCTAAGAATACTCTGAACTTCCTCAGCTGCAGTCTGCTGCAGTTCAGGAAAATGACATCATTGCACCACCACGAACACAGGCTCCGTAGGAGTTTGATCTCCCCTGCATATCCTACCCGCTGGGAACTACTTATGGACATGAGTAATCCCTCCCCACTCCAAGGGACTGGTGCTGAACAGCAAACTCTTCTCTCAGGAGCAAACCTTGGTAGGCTCTGGCTCAGCTTTTACTGAGCTGAGTGTTGGAGCTGCATCCCAATTATTCACATTATAAATGAAAATGAGCAGCAGAGCTTTGGTCTGAACGTTCTTTACCCAGGCCTAAGGATAGCTCTGCAATGAGACAGCATCTATTTAGTGAGCCCGTAATTGCATCACAGATTGGGAACAGGTTAAAAACAGGGATGTAGCAGGTTGGTTGCCAACAACTACGTTTTTATCCATTTTGCCTTATTAAGCACAACTGTTGCAATCATATATGCTTCCTGAAGTCACTCAGAAAACTACTGATATCCCAAATCCTTGCCAAAGACTACTCCAGATGGGTCAACCTCACGTGCTAAGACTCCACCACTCCTCCCCACTTCAGCCCTGTAAGGGGAACCAGACCTCACCCACAGGTTTTCCTGCCAGCAGCAGTTGGATCCCTGAGACTCCTGCCCAGCCCTGTGGGTGTTAAATGCCTTGGGAGAAACACCCTCGACAGGCACACAACGCTGCAGCCCTCAGTCTCGCTGCAGGGGAGATAAAAAGGAGTTGGTGAAGGGGAACAAGCGCAGTCAGAGTGAAGGTCCTGAACCCTCAAGAAAACAAGGAAAAAGCTGATATTTGAGGAATCTGCTGGGGAATTAACATCACAAAGGAAATTGAACCGCTAATCGTAGGCTTACAGAAGCCATCAAGCAAAAGAACCTGAAAATGTAAAAGAATGTGAAATACCAGACACAATGGGAATAGAGGTATTGAGCTATAGTGTTTAATCCATTTTTCCAAGTCCAGGCCTGACAGATAGATCACAACATCTTGAAGAAACTGTTTCAGTCTCACAACATACCATTCTCACCTGCTGCAGAAAAACTCTTGTGCACGGTAACTGCAACTTGTTTGACCTGGAAACCCAGAAAATGTTTGGACTGGAGACTCTCACATCAGTACAAAGAGACACTGACCAGGCTCCATCATATTTTGAGGACTAAGAAATGATCTCTAAAAGACCAACCTCATTCCAGGACTATAAAACAACCATTAACAACGACTCACAGCTATGCCTGTCTATTCCTCTATGCTTTCTGTGTAACCACCATGCATCTCATCTGAAGGAGGAAGAATGCAATTTAAAAATTCACCTGTCAGCACCTCTGGAGAGAAATCGTTTGTGTCAATACTATCAGACCACTGTTACCAACCAACAAGTCTGGCCTATAACACTTTAAGCAGTGATTCTTGGTTTTTAGTACTTAAAAAAAAAAAAATAAATCTAAAAACCATGAAGATAAAAATGGAGTTATCTCCTACCATGTGCCAGCCAACACCATGTGTTAAGGTAAAGCACACATGAAACAGAATGGCAAAATCGTGCAGAAGCTTACTGAAATGCTGTAGCACGTTGTCCTGTGTTAAGTTTCACCATAAGAACATTTCTTTAAATATACACTTAACTTCAAGAAACGTGCTTGGTAGTTAGCAGACAGGGAAATCAGTCACAAAAAGCATGTTTGTGGCAATAAAAGACTCCAGCACCCCCGATAATTTTATTTATATATTTATATATATATATATATATATATATATATATATATAT